TGCTCTTTCACCACTCTTTCTTCTACTTCTTCTTCACTTTCTCTTCTCATCGAACCTGAAATCTCTTAGTGGTCAAGACTGAATAGCAGTCTTGAAAACCTACAGGTATATACCGTGAAATATAAGGCTGACGGACCAATTGAAGGATATAAGGTTTTGCTTGTTGTAAAAGGCTAAACTGATACTTATTTATAAAAAAAAAGGCTATACTAATACTTATGGCATCGACTATTAGGGATATTTTGTGTTGATAGCCAAAATGAATTATACTGGGGTTATTCTCTCTCTCGCAGTGTACTTCTCATAGATATTTCATGAGATGCACATTAGAAAAGCTATTCTCAATGATGATTTGCAAGAGGAAGTGTATATAGAACTGCCATTCAGAGTCTGCTTCCTTAATAACCAAGGGAAGGTAATATAAGCTTTAGAAGTTGATATATGATCTCAAGAAATCACCATGGGCCTAGTTTGACAGGTTCAAGGAAGTGGTTCAAAAGATTGGATTTACACGGTTTGGTCATACTCTCTTAATTAAGGGAGTTGAAAATTTGGTGACCATGTTGATTGTCTATGTATATGATATCATAGTCACTGGTGATAATCCATCTAAGATTGAGAAGCTCAAGACCTTTTACACATCGGAATTTGAATTAATGATCTTGGACATTCTATGTACTTTCTTGGCATTGAGATAACTAGATCAAAGAAAGGAATTTTCATTTATCAAAGGAAACATGTTTTTGATCTTTTCAAGGAGACATGAAAGCTATGTTTTAGTCATTTGGTTTATTTCACATTATTGTAATTTAAAAGGTTATGTGTGTAAGTAAAACAGTTACTATTTACTTCCTTTTTGTTCTCTGCCGTTCTTCTTCCCCTTTCTACTCGCAGATTATTACTATTTATTAAGTTTTATTCCGTAAAACTACATGTATAAACAAGAACCATCTTGGAACAGCAGTCCTCCAACATAATGTATTCTTTGCCATCTTAACCTGGTCAAGCTATCTAATACGGAGCTAACCAATCTTAGAATCTAACTAGACAATCTATTATTCATCTTAGACAACAAAGCAATGGATTCACCAATGTGACTATTAAAATACCAAGTCATTTAGAAGATTTAAAGTTTTAAACATCCATTATATAAGAATCTAAAAATCTCCTTCAACCTTTACTTTCTCAAATCCTATAGAGAAGTATAATATATTTCAAAGGTTTCAAGAATGAGAAGTTCATTTACACTGTTACGCTGGGTTTGGTTTGAAAGGAAAGGCAGGGAAACCTATACACGTTTGTATAGGTTCCCCTACCATTTCTTTCAAACCAAAGACAGCCTTAATAAAAGCTATCCTTTTCTCAAAAGAAAAAAAAGAAAGTGCATTTACATTTAATGTGTGTGTATACATCAAGAAATTATATTCCTTTTAAATATTCACTCGTAGGGCTTGAGAAAATCTAGATATTGTCACCAGACTTTTTTTTCTATAATTTGACCTAGATCATATTATCTTTACATTCTTCTCACAGATGCGATCTTGTGTTTTCGACATTTTTGCCAAGAATCTGACAGTAGACCAAGCATTCTGTCTACTAACTATCTGGGGTCCAATTGAAGATTACTGAAAATTAAGTAAAATCCAAATTCTTGGAAAAAAGTTATCTATACATTCTTCATCGTTTTAGCTGTTAACTGGTTCAAGAGTAACAACAAAACGTGGACACTGGTTCATGAATTAACACATACAAACCTTTAGCTCCTTCAACAAGTAGGAAGCTGCTTGTCCTTTGGCTGCTTTCTTGCTCCTTTCACACCCCTCTCCTATCAATAGGATATCCTCCATCTGCAGCCAAAGCTCAGCATGCACCAGTTCTCCTTTGTTAGTACACTTCTCTTTTATGAAATAGCCAAGGGAGTCACATGTCTCATTCAGTTCTCTCAAGGGTGGCAACTCAAGTCTGTCAGGAGTTATGATAGGAGAAAGTAAGGGTTTAAATATTCTCCATACTTCATCAGTGTTAAGCTTAGTGTCCATAAGAATTGCCCCTGCAATACTCTCAACCAAGTCTCCAAGAACCTGTGGCAAATAGAAATAATCACTTCAGAGGAACCTCCCTTTCAAATGAATAAAATAAAATTGTTAACAGCTTAACACTAGAAATGAAATTATCAAAAAAAAAAACTTAACACTAGAAATGACCAAGAATTAAACCTCATATTATGAAACTCAGAATGGAGTTAGATTTTGGTGATTGGTTAGCCTACATGGTTGTGAATTGTGATGTAGCAAGCTGTAAATAGTGGCTGCAGATTGTATATGTCCTTTAAGCAAGATTAAGTTGAACAAAAAAACTTACTTTTGGAACTTTAGCTCGGAGTGACATAGTTTCATTAGAAGGTCCAGAAGCAGACTTCACATATTCTGTTATTTGCGTTAAAAGCAGTCCAGAACCATGTTGAAGATGCTGTTGGAGGTTGTGCCTCACTGCCACCTGAGCAAAGTTTTCATTATTGACATTGGCTGAACGCAAGTCAGTCAACTCCCCTGGATCAACATCCTTATGGCTTTGATAAAGATGACATGTAATAAGCAGGTCCAATACAGAGTCACCCAGAAATTCAAGCCGCTGAAAAAAAAGGGAAGGTCATAAATTAGAACAAGCAGGTGCTCATATCTGTGGTTTCATTCACAGCCACAGATATCCCTCATCTGTTCAACAGTCTTTTGATGTCAAAACAAAAGTTAGAAATCCAAGAGAAAAAATATCTCCACTTACTAACAATTTCTGAAAAATTCAACAATAAACACCCTAAAAATAATAATGTTAGCTTTTTTTCCTAGGAGTAGTTACTCAATTTTTTTATCAATAACTGAAGAGCTTTAGATGTAAGTTATTACAAAAAGTTGGGAAGCATCACTAGATTTTGTTTAAGTTATCTATTACAATATTGTAAAGTTCCAAGACTTTGACATAGAAAAAAATTGATGTTTTAAGATTTATCTTCTCAAGGAGGAAGCGATGAAAGAGAACGAAAGAAGATGTAGAGACTGACTGACCGAGGGCCCATTTGATTGACATAAAGGCATTGGTTTCACTTTCTTGCCAAGATTGATTTCTGACCATTCAAAAAAGTTAGTATGGTAGAAATGTGTATGCTGAGATGGATGGGTGGAAAAACTATAAAGGATAGGATCAGAAATGAATTTATTAGAGGAAACATAGGAGTAGCTCCAATAGGTAATAAAAAAAAGTAGACTAAGATGGTTTGTTCATGTAACGTGCATAGAAGACCATTAATAGCACCTATAAGAAGTGATCTGTTGCAAGTTGAAGGGGCTAGAAGGGCTAGTGATAGACCAAAAAGGACATTGATTTCTGAACTCCACCATCATAGCTTTGGTTCCCAAGAAAAAAGAAGCAAACCATCCGAGGGACTTTAGACCAATCAGCCTAGTAAATAGCCTACACAAGGTTATAGCAAAGGTGTTATCCCTTACGAATAGGAAGGCGCTCCTTACCACTGTAGCAAATAATCAAGGAGCTTTTGTAAGGGGAAGGCAAATAGCGGATCAAATACTTATAGCAAATGAGAGTGTTGACGACTTCAAGAGACCAAAGAAAAAGGGGTGGTTTGGGCATGCCCCTCCCAAGTTCTAGTGTCTTGCACGAATCCGAGAAGGAGTCAGCCCGTGTTTACTCTGAACTGAACAAGAGTACATCACAGAGAGGTAAACAATTGGGTACAGGAAGAGGTCTTTGTGCAGACCAAGTGACAGGGATTAATTTCCTCCAATCCGAGGAGATAGAGAGCTCCAATTTCTCTGAACAGGGAGTGACAACCAATCTTCCTTGTTTGAATACCCCTCTCCACCCTCAGTTGACCTCAGGTATTTCTGTTAACTCTGTCAATTCAGTTTTTGCTACTGATGAGTG